AAGCTTGTACAAAATTCAGACAAGCGCTGGTGCTGAGTTGGCATGATTAAATCACGTAAGTCCGTCTAGTAATAACAATGCTAGCATGCAAGCTTGTACAAAATTCAGACAAGCGCTGGTGCTGAGTTGGCATGATTAAATCACGTTTCCAAAGTAGCAACAAATCTCTTGCTGCTGATGACATGTATAATGTCATAGTCTAGCTAGTGTGTCAATGTTCTGTATAGCTACTGCTGGCATTCTGTATCTGTATCCCTACATACGGGATTGCACCGAGTCATGTTAGCGTTGGGCCACTCACCGGGAGCCCGTGGTGACCAGTGCCACTGCCACATTACCAAGCTTGCCATAAAAGAGCTCAACTTTCTCAACTTTGCACTCTCTGCTCAGCTGAAGAGCTGTATAGAAGACAAGCCAGAAAAACAGAGAAATAAACTGGCAGGTGGTAGTGGCAAAGCAGGATCTAGCCATTAACTGAGCACTGTCACTCTGCAGTACTTGTGGTAACACACGTCCCTGGTGCAAAATGAGTTCACATTTTATCACATGCATTTTTTTATCATCCTGCTGTATGATAATTAATATGGGTATATATTTACTTTTGATGAAGAGAGTTCATATCATTATATTTGTATGGAAGCGCCTCGTTCCTTTGGTATGTTATAGCGTTACCTTAGCTTTGCCGGTTCTAAAACTCGGTCCCTGGCTTTTAAAACTATGGTTCTCCCCATATTAAACAAGGCATGTGCCCCTATACACTTAAAAACTGCTCAAAATTGGTTGCCATTCAGCATAAAACTGCGAGATGGGTTTCCAAAAACTATCATGATAGTGCTGATGTTTCTTTAGCTCAACTTGATTGGCCTCCTCTTCGTGTCCGCTTTCTCCATGCTCAACATATAACTTTTCATAAAATTTATCATGGTCAGGTGAAGATTGGCAGTCCCTCTTGCTTGATGAAGCCTGTTCGTTGCACTCGATCATCTGAGCATGATCATTGCTTTTGACATGCACCATCTTCTAAGGATCTCTTTAAGTTTAGCTTCTTTGTTTCTGTCCTTCTGTATTGGAATTTTCTCCCTTCCTCTTTAGTAAATTGCAAATTTTACTTTTCTACTGCGATCAACAGTGTTGAGCTTTCTATTTGATCAGCTTGCCTCTTTCTGTCTTCGATATAGTCCCTTAGACGTTGAAGACTATTATTTACGAGGTTAATCCAATGTTTTTGCTTTTAGTAGCTTTAGTAGCTTTTAGTAGCTTTTAGTAGAATTCACGGACAGTAAAATAAAGGCGTATGCAGCCTGAAGTTGCAAACTAAAAATCGCAATAGTCACATGAGTCGAACTAACTATCAGATAAGCATAAATTATCATGTTATCCAACATATATTACTGCAGAATATGATTTTAATTGGTGTTTCATGGCAAAATTTATTGTACGACCCCTCGATGGTGTCAAATCAGGCAGTCTGACAGGAAAGCATGGAATATTTGATTCTAGACTTACAATAATTTCGTTCTTTGTGTATAAATGCAAAGAAAACTTTTCAGGAATTTAAGTCTCTGCACATCAAAAATCAGTGGTAAATGCCACTAATAATAGAATTTTCTTTACATGGGGGGAACATATACAATTTAAATAGTTGTTTTCTACTGCACTGCAACTGTTGTAACCATTGTGTTGTTATTTTCAACTGCAGGTTCCTCATGGTGGGCAAGTTCGTTTATCATCATTAATGCTGGGTTAGGAGCAGGGTTGCTCAACTTTGCAGACTCATATAATGATGCTGGTGGAATTGTCATTGCCTTAACCTTACAAACGGTTAGTATTGTGTCTATCAGCATGAACCTATGCATATATTGAAGATAAGATCTTTCTTCTTTCTTTATGGCTAATCGTTTTGCCATGTACTCAGCTATTCTACAAATCTCTGAATGTCAGTGCGACATTTCAGTGAGAAACGGCTCCCTTTTTTCATACACAGATCATGCTGGTCTTTTGCGTCCTGGCCTTGATCGTCCTTGCATACTGTTCGGACGTGGCATGCTGCAGCACCTATCAGGAAGTGGTGGAGACGATGTGTGGCAAGCGTGCTTGGCTGACTTGCTCTCTCCTCATTGCTGTCTACTGCTTCGGCTGCTGCATTACCTTTCTGATAATCATTGCCGACCAGATTGACAATGGTACAGATATGACGGAAAAGACGTTCTTGTAATACTTGCGGGTTTATGCTGCGACTCTATTTAGCATCTGGGACATTCCGATTATTACTGATCACGTTTGTTTCTGACGTCAGTTGATACTGTGTGTGACAACGCACTTGTGACTCCAGGAATGTGCTAATGGTGGGGTGGGGGTGGAGAACAAATACCATATTTCTAAAATAATATATATTTATCACATTGAAAGTATCATATTGTTAGCTAAAACCTGCCAGAAGTCCAAACCACTATTCACTTCATTTAAATATCGTTTCTAGAATCTCTCTCTCTCTCTCTCTCTCTGTCTCTCCCCTCTCTCTATTTTTGTGTGCGCATATGTTCGTTATTTGTTTCAGTGATGGCAGACAATTTCGGGCCTGATTTCTGTGCGAGATGGTACCTATCCCGGCAGTGTACGCTGTCAGTCACCTCCATTGTCATAATATTGCCTTTATGCTTTCCGAAAAAAATAGACTTTTTAAAATACGTCAGGTTAGTATCAAAGTTATGTCAGTGTACTAAATCTACATTTGAAAGGAAAATTGGGGGAAAAATTATTTAGATCACCTGGAGAACTTTTACGCTTTATAATAGCTAAGCAACATGTTTAGCAGTTGTAATGTTCTAAGTATTGTTTTTTTAAATTTAACAACTGTTTGAACAAGTACTAGTACGGTGTACCTGTCAAGAATCCCATATTAAACTATTATATTAATTACTATTTCAGTGCGATGGGTGTGTTCGCCGTCATATATGTGACTTTCCTAGTCGTATATCGATACTATACAGGACAGTATGTACCAGGCCCAATCAAAACAGAGTGAGTATAAATGTCATGTAAATATTTATTTGTATTTTTAACTCATCTGACGTAGTCGGATGCAGCTTGTAGAATCGCATGATTGTGCGTGCTTCAACAGTTGGGCACAAATCTTAACCGCTCGATGTACGGTCACGATATTCGGGACGTCGGGGGGAGGATCGTGAAAAGGACTCGGGATGACAAATTTGGGGGTCAAGGGTCAAAGGTCAAGATGTGTAAACGAAGGGGAAATATTTCCCCCTTAACTAAGGTATACGGAGGAAATACGGAATTGCCGGCACAAATCTTAACGGCTCGACCTATGCTCTTAATATTCGGTGTTTAGTGTGATGGGCAGGAAACCCATCAACCAGTGCGAAATTGGAGTCACAGGTCAAAGGGCAGTGGGGGAAAGGTCAGATATCAGCACATTTTCTGAGGGGACATGGCCTAATGGACAGAGTGAAAACTTTTTGTTTTCAGTGCCTGACCTACCATTTTTTATCACTTTATTGAAAGGACCATGAAATGTGCTTTCCAGCTGACGTTGCGAAGAGTAAGTGTCTGATAACCTTTTTGACCTTCAAGAGAGGGTTAAACATGGATTTCCTGAACTGCCTCAATGATGTCACAGTGTTCTCATATTCATGGTACATCCATAATCTAGAAAGCCAATAAGCCTGTATAGCCCAACAGCTACATCACAGGATTATGGCTCAGAGGTTCTTGGATCGAATCCCATCAGATTTTTTATTATTTACCTTTTTTTTGTATTTTTCTATCTTTATCCATTGAACTTTTTTTCCAATAGGGTTTGGGTCACAATGCACGATAAAACAGGAGTTTCAGGCACGCGATTTGTATCAACCAATGGGATTTGGGAGGTATCCAGAATGCAGAAGGTTGCTGAAATGATGTGTACGCAACTGCATATCTGCATATCTACGCCTAACAAAGGTGTCACTACGCACGACTTAAATGTTACGTTTATAACCGTAGCAACAGACCTCAGATGAGCCCAGACGCTCTGCAGCTCAAGATTGTTAATACTTATTTACTTAATTTCCCTTAATGACTGTGCTTATTGATTGTAAAATTAAATGACTAATCGTTCTATTATTAGATTATAATTAGATTATAACTATTATTGTAATGCATTCCTGAATCTATATTATAATTATCTGAAAATGCCGATTTGTGCCACATATTTCTGTTGTCATCTAGATGTTCTCTTAATTCTTGAATAATTTTCAGACCAAACTCCTGGCAGGACGTGTTTTTGGTTATACCAACAATCTGCTTTTCGTACCAGGTAGTACATTTTTTTCAAATATTTAGTTGTTTTCATAAATCTATTGGAAGCAAACAACTTTATAATACTGTATAGTACAGGGGTAATAGTTCTCACTCTGTATGTTATATCGGTTTTTTGTAAACACATTTCTTTATAGTGTCACATAAGTGTTGTACCGGTGTACTCGTGTCTACGAAAGAGGACTTTAACAGAGTTCAGCAAGTCGGTCTGCGTTGCCATGGTCGCGTGTGTCCTGTGCTACACGTTGACCGCCGTCTATGGCTATCTGACTTTCGGAGGCAATGTTAACGCAGACATACTCCTGTCGTACGCGCCGAGTGATACGGCTGCTCTCATCGCCATGATCGCGGTTGCAGCTAAGATGTACGTCACCTACCCAATACTCTGTTTCTGTGGCAGGTAAGTAGCAGTAGAATGGGGCACATTATATAATTATATAATATAATATGCTATACAGTGAACTCTCTATATTCCGAACACCTTCAAAAGCGAATATTATGTTAAACTGAACAATATTTAAGTCCCAATCCCATCTGAGACATGTAAGAATGTCCTTCTAAAAACGGAACTTCACAGAAAACTGACCTGCATGGACAGTCGCGTAGGTGGTCGGTATTGCAAGTTGACTGTCCTATATCATTGTTGCCATTTAACGTACTTAGGCCAAACAAAAAAATACCTTTGGTTCAGGTCTCATGGATTGTGAAAATGAGGCCGGCCGCCGCGCCATACGACTTTCAGGCTCTGTTTATGAAGTAGCCGGCCCAGGCTCTATACGACTCTTTCACGTTGTAGGAAACGTAGGTACGAACTGTTTCACTTCTCGCCAACGAAGTTCTGTTTATAAATATTTTGTAACTCTCTTTAGGTAAATAAAATCACAAGTCGGATATTTCAATATGTATGATCGGCAGGCGGTATCTTTGAATTTTATTTTTTCTTGAAACCCTCTAAAAGTGACCGCAGTCGCACATTCTATCACTCCGAAATGTGAAGTCGGGTGGGTGACCCGAACCAAAGGTAATTTTTTGGTCGGCCTTATAAGCATAGAGTAAGTGCAGTTTGCTGGAATACTTCTAGCCATCCTTGATTATGTTACTTCGTTGTCACGGGTTTAATTCAAAAATACATATTTTTGCCCATACTGAAAGTTTGTGTGGATAGCTAGAATCTTTTGCTGCCTCCCAATTTTCAGCACTTTTCCCCTATCATTAATTATAATGACACAAGGGATGATTGGTTTCTCTATCATATTTTGATTTATACCATGAACCTATGCATATTTAAAAAAAAAACTACACTTATTATACTGTGTTATGTTATAAGAGTATGTAATTATACTGATTGAATATCAAGAGTCACCTAATGTGCTTTTGTCTGTACTTCGCAGAGTGGCTGCAGACAACCTCTATATAGATTGTAAGCAGCTGAGTCCCGCACTAGCTGACCAGGGTGAGAAGACAAGACGAATACTGATGACACTAGTCTGGTTCTTCGCATCACTCCTCCTTGCCGTCTTCATTCCCGACATAGGCAGTGTCATCGGTGTACTGGGAAGCTTTGCGGCAGTCTTTATATTTGTGTATCCAGGTAGGTGGTAATCGTTATCATACTATGTAAAACACTGTATTGTTTGTAATACAGTGTGGCCCCATTAAATCGGCCCCATTATTTCGCTATAAAGTGTCATAGCGAAAAAAGCGGGGTCGTGCCAAATCGGGGTTCAAGAAAATCAGCATATAAACTGACCCCCCCCCCACCCCACAGCAACAAGTCATGTAAACTCATTTAGTTGTGCGATATATAGGCGATCCTCGCTTCGACCTAAGTCCGGCTTAACTCACCAAAAAACTTTTCAGTTCTGGAAAGAGCAAAAAAAGGTCCAATGACTCATCGCGTTATATCCGAATTCACGTTAAATCAGGGTTTCACTGTACCTCTCTGCGCTTTTTAGTTGCTATGAATGCTACTGTTTCATATTAGTATTACTATAACGCTAACTATAACAGGGTAAAATGAACTAGCATTATTTTTACGTGACCTCCTTTTCTGCTTCCACTGTTCTCACATGGTGATGAATGCCATTAAGACAAACACCTAACGGACGTCAACGCGATTGCACTGTGTTTCAGGTATGTGCTTCATGCAGGGAATGCTCGCGCGAGATGCCGCGATCGAGCAAAGACGTAGCAAAGTCGCGCTAATCTGCACGGTAGGCTTCATAGCACTCGGCGTGTTCATATTCGGCGTAGTCCTGGTGCAGGTGATCATGAAGGCTGTAGCGAGTGAGCATCAGAAGGGACCGATCATCAACGGCTCACCCTGCTACTGAAGTAGTAACCTCGCTGTGACCACAAAACAGGTGCCGCAGGCTTACTACTACTACTACTGAGTACTACGTCTAGCGATGAGTCAGTCGCCACCCAGTCTTTCACATTTGATCCATTTGTCTACCACACCGTCCACACGTGAGTTACGCGATACAGTCGTATGTTAGTATATTCTACGAATAATCTCGAGGGTTGGTTTTTATACCACATTCAGTGTTTTGCAATCAGCAACTAATTCACTCACTGCAAGTCCGCTTTAATGACTAAATGCATATGCTGGGACGTCGTAAGTAATCAAGAATAATGCGCCAAACATCTGGGATGAGTTAACAGCAGTTCCTTACGCCAGAACAAAAAATTCTACCACGATAGTCAAGCTAATTATCTTTCGCCACGTATTCAGGGTAGCGACGCGATTGCACAAATTCGCAAATGATTAATTAGCATAATTTAATTTGCGAGGATAAATTTCTAATTACCCGTTTCTCTCTTGATTACAGATACGACAGGCTTAGTACAAATTGAATATATGCAAAAATATTTGTGAATACAGTTTTAAGCGATCACAGACTTACACCTTCCCATGTACAGTCACTAGACATTGAAACAGAACAGTCGGATAGGAACAATGTAGGTATTATAAGTAATTGCCTGCCAGCTGCATTGCCCTATGTTTGCTTACTCTGGTGTTTCCCATCAGTGCCATAAATGACCCAGGCACGTATAAAGTGCTTTCAAATGTTGGTGTGATTACCAAAACTCTGATTAATAGCTATATAATTATATTTACTTCCAACGAAAAATACATACATCGGACTGTCTCTATATGTTCAGAATTCTCATGTATATTCTACAGTACAGTGATGGTGATAGGTTCGTAGATGGTGAAAATGACTCCTGTCCTAATTGCACTGTTAAGGACTTGTAGATCAAGGTATTGTGTCTATAAGGCAATGACAGTGTATTGTCATCTTGGTCTATATATGGCTCGTTGTTGTCACATTGCGTGACAAGAGGGGACAGCCATCAGGAACTGGTTCTGTAACTTTTGTCTTCTTGTTCATTTTGACAGGTGTAGTGTCCTCTGACTCTAGAGACATTACATTACAATGCTAGTAGTAATCAAGAAGATCATCCTGGCTTTTTTTACTTTAGCAGTGGGAGGTGTGGGGGGCTGGAAACTGCTCATTATGTGTGGTTATAGAAAAAGGTGTGCTCAGACTCTATGAGGGAATAACATACAGCCATACATACAAGTTCATTCTAATAAGCATTCGTTTGTTTATTTCTCTGCACAGCAGGGTATCCTGCAAACAATCAACTTGTGCTCAAACTGTACTGTACTGTTCAAAACCCTCGTTTTGTGTCAAGTCTTATGTCCAATATATTTTACCAATACGTAAAATATGCTTAACGAGTCAGCCATCGTACCATTTACCTTTGTTCATACAAAAATGTAGTATTGAAAAAAAATATTATATACAGACCTGTATATATCTTTTTGTGTAAATAAATGCTTTTTACTTTTTTTAAACTACATAGTGGCTATATAAACGACTTTTTTAAACAATGCTTGTCGACATCTAATTCTGAACAGCATGACGCTGCATTAGTGACATTAATGCATTAGTGTATTGTACACGTATAGTATACATTTGCAATAATTGCAATATGATCATATCTCCGTAAATTGCTTTAAAATAATCTTTATAATAGTGATATCTTTCACCATAATAGGTAGACACAATGCAACAGGCCAAAAAAACAGTTTGCATAGGAACATTTCCTACATGAATCCTGTGTATCCTTGGTCATATGTTCACCTTACAAACACGTAACAATAAGCAAGTAAGAACGCACTTTCCTATATAAGGGGGGGGGGGTCCCACATAATCGGTGGTCGAATTACGCTCACTTTACTAGCGCGTAACAATAAGACCACACTTTCCTAAATCAGAAGGGGCCCTACGTACCACCGATAGCTTTACAAGCACGCAACAATAAGCAAGACCCCCTAAATCAAAGGGGGCCCGACATACCATCCGCCGAGTGCTCATCATGACATACAAACACGTTCAGTTAATAATAAGTTCGGTTAAATAATCGGAGGAGGATTCAAAGATCTCTCATCGCAAGGGGGTAGAGGAGCAGCGCGCGGAGGGTTTTGCACGCGCCCGCGCGCGTCACACTACAACACGCCGGCTGCGTCGAACAAGTCGGAGATTCCCTCGCTCTCCTCCAGGGTGAACGTGTAGTCTGCGTCGGTGATCGGCGGCTCCAGCTGCACGAACGCGCCGTCGTCGCCGTACTGGTCCTCCGTCTGGAACAGCTTGAGTGGCGAGAAGTCGGTTGCGCCGCCGAGTCCGCACGACGACGACGGCGTCGCCGTGGCGACCGTCACGCACGCGCGCCCGCGCTTCGTCGGGGTGTTGTCGGCGCGGATGCCGCACGGCGTCGTAAGGATGCGCTCGATCTGCGACGTGTCTCCCCCCCGCGACTCGTCGTCGGCACCGGGGCCGCGCGCACGGCTGTACTTTGCGAGCTCCTCGCTGCCGGAGGCACCCTCTTCCTCCGGGCACAGGTAGACGTCGATCTCGCCGCGCTCGCTGCGCAGCGACATCTGCGTCGTCGCGGCGACAACGTCGCCGGGCAGCGGCACCTCGAGCCGCGTCTCCGGCGGCGCGCGCACCGCGATCACGGTCTGCTCGCGGAACTCCGGGATGCGGCGGATGTCGCGGTAGGCAACGTAGGCGAGTCGCCGGTTCGCCGCGTCCTCCGTGACAAGCCGCAGCTGCAGCGTCGCCGCGGCGATCATCTCGTCGAGCCGGCCCTCGGCGGCCTCCATGTCTGCGATCTCGCGCCGCCGCTGCGTCTGCCTCGCCGCCGCGCGCTGCTGCTCTCCGACGCTGCAGCCGCGCCAGCGGATCTTGTTCTTCGACTCCTTCTGGATGAGCCGGATGCCCTCGAGTACGTTCGTGATGTCGTAGATGCGCCGCTTCTGCACGTCGAGCGTCGTCACGGCAACGTTCAGGTCGAGCACGCCGTCGGGCGACGAGCGCAGCATCCCGACAAAGCGGCGCGTCAGCAGGCCGAGCGACGTGTCGAAGCGCGTCCTCTCCGGCGACGCCAGCTTCCCCCTCGTCTGCAGCTTCCTCTTGCCGCCGCCGCCGGAGGAGGACGAGGAGGAGGAGGGCGGGCGGCCGCGTTTCGGCGTCGAGCCCTCGTCGGGCACACGCGGCGTCGCCATCGTTGGCGGCGATTCCAGGTCGAGCTTCCGCTTGGCCTGCGGGAGCCGGGAGGTGGCGTGCCACGCGCGGGAGAGCGCCGGCCCTGGCGTGCACGTCACCACGTCGACGTCGTCGTAGTCGGCGGCAGCGGCGCTTGCCTTCGAGTAGTTGTGCACCATGCTGGGAGGCGGCGAGCAGATCACCTTGGAGGCGATGGTCACGTAATTGCAGGCGCTCCTTGTCCGCTGCTGCGCACGCTGGTACGCCATCGCCTGCGCAATCGGGAGGCGAAACGACGAGTGAGCAATATACACGATTGCGTATTGATGTGTAATGTATCGATGTGCTGCGCTTTTGATCATTTTATGTAAAAAGGTGCAATATAAATAAATAAAACAATAATAATAGTATGCGCGCTGCGAAAACCGCGCGTCAACAATGTATTCGATCCAGGTGAGCCAAATGTGAAGTAAAGTATCTACGTGCGAAGTGGAGGATTTGGTCATCTCTACAGGACACAGATCGCATTGCCCTTGTGTGGGTTCGATAAACTTACATTGATGCAATTGAGTTATACAGATGGTGATATACACAGATAAAACACATTTATATGCATCTCTCTATATTCTTGACAGGTCTGCTAAAAATTTGGTAGGACTTTATTTTCCCTATTGAACGTATTATTAATAATATGGTGCACTGTAAATTATTGCGACTAATAGTAATACTAATTACATGAGCAATATAACACTGTGGGTGTGCCACCTAGTATGCCTTCATGTTCTTCCCACGAATACCACGTTGTGTGTATATCGTACCCTACCCTAAATAGGAGTTGATAAAAAACCAGAACTGCCCCTGGTGCTCCTCATTTGAAGGATGTTTGCCTTGACCACCAACCTGTCATTGTGACTGCTTACATTTCCGGATTAAACCCAAGGCCCCACAATAAACAACTGAGATTTGCCCACTGTTAATTGTGCCCAGTACCAGATATTTGATTTTGTGAGAAAAACACCCTGTTTGTAATTTTGGACACTCATTTTCAAACAAAATTACCGGATAAGTGAATTTTGATAAAAAAAAAAGGTATCGTAAATACCTGCTTTCAAAGTATAAATTCCAACCTCAATTGTGAATAGATTTGATATTAGAACCCAAATCAGAATTGGACTTCCTAAGTCATTCTTGCCACATGCAGTATGAAGACACAAAACAAGTAACCCTCACCGGTAATCACTTTATATGTAATAAAACGAGGGTCAAATTTTATCACCGTGCAGTACAAATGCACTTTACATGCCCAACAAATTTATCATCTAATAATTTTATTTGGTGATAAAGTGGTGATAAGTTAGACTGTGTAGGCCTAATGTTTAAAGGGTATTAGTTTTACCAGCTCTTGAAATGTTACGTTGGGGGCAATGACAATATTGCTAATTATGCACCACCACGTACACTATTCATAACCAAACTCTTACCCTAATTATTAAAATCTTGAGTTCTAAAGTAGGGGTGAGCGATCCTAAACTGTTCTCCTATTCAGAGCCCATCCCCAACCATTAATTCTACGCCCATGTGACCGAGTTACCTCTGTGATTAATATGGATAATGTGCATCACTGCATGTGAAGTGTTACTGTTAGGAGATAGGTTTGGGTTTGTGTAATTCATTATTATAATTAGCTCGCGTAGTAAAAGAATTACTCAATTAGAAAGCTACACCGTCAAGGTTTTGTACGCATTGACTATCTTAATAGAACTTAGAAGCTTGGCTAGGACATTTAAATTCTTTTTCAATAGGGGCCTAGTTCACATTTCATCCATTTAATATTAAGAAAATAACCGCGATTATTATTCACAGTAACGAGTCTAGACTATCTTATTATAAAACGGGTTACTAACGTTCAAGGTCATACCCTATGGCTATGTGCCTATCAATAACGTAGATTAGGCCGCATAGAGCTACATGTAACGAGCTACAGCATGGACAGTGAAAGTGAGTTCAGTTTCACTATCACTATGCAACAAGCGAAACGACTCTCACCGTAGTCGTACCGTACGGTACGATACTGCCACTAGCACTAGCATGTCATTATTCCGTTTATCTTTTCTGCGAATATATAGCAATGCCAACACTTACCTGTGTAGGGTTAAATTACTGCCAGAAAGGAGCTCACACGCCTCCAAACTTGTCCTTCGCCAAGGCTCAAAGATGCCTGAAACAACACCACTGATGACACTACAATGACATGTTTCACACAGGGAGTGATTGACAATTGTGGCGGGAAATTGTATTTCCCGGGAAACATGTCATCTTGTTTGGTTTAAAAACCCGTTTATGGTGTTCTCGCGCCATCTACAGGCAGGAAAAGTATCATATTTCCATTTCATACGGGTGTTTTTCGTGGTTCAACCAAGATGGCACCCATTGGAGAAAGATCAGCAAAACTCAGGTCTGATCTAGCTCCGCAAAAAGAAACGGAACAAGAAACGAATTTATGGTAACAATATTTATGTTCATCGTAGTCAACAGCTCTAAAATATCGAGATTTAAATTTGTTTATATTTCTCGGAACAAGTGTCATGCGGCACAGACCCACCCAAATTTCATCACATTACTCATTACATTACTCAGCCTGATTAGGTTCCTACAGAAGTTGAAATAATTTTATGATTACAAAATCACTTAGCTTAGGTTTATTATTGTATAAATTCAGACTGATTTAGCCATGGTACGAGCAGGTCACTCTATCAGTTTTACAGTTACAGTTTTACAGTTTTACAGTTTTACAGACATTTGGGTACAAGTAGCGTTTACACACCCATGTCGTGAGTTTGGTTAGGGTTAGGGTTAGGGTTAGGGTTAGGGTTTTTAAACCTGGGGTTGTCAAATAGGAATGGGCCGTAATTTGCAAGTTACTAGCTGTGAATAACAAAAACCGAGTGTAGTTGGATCTGTCGTCATGTGATTTTGATGTCATCTTCTGACTGGTCTGACTTTAATTATTAAGCCACTTTAGTCTTTAGCACTCACTGAAACTGTGTCACCTAGCCAACGTCATGTGTGAGAAGACAAACAGTTAACAGTTATAGTCATCGGTTAATCAGAATTAGCATTCATGTGATGGTGCTTTCATTTTCCAATGTTAACATACAACACTCTAGGCCCTACAGTATTAATTATTTATGTTATTTTGACATTGGCATAAATGCTAGTTGTTGCACGCTCACACATGAATATTAGCCATTTTATTCATTTCATCTACGATCGTGTAACTAAAGCTGAGAGGGTCTATGTCCCCCAGGGTACTGCCGGAACGTACCCTGGTACTATCTAATATGCCGGACCGTCTCTCGCCTACTCCACTAACGAGTGTAGGGAGTCGCCTACGCCTACTCCCTAACCCTAACCATATCAAATAGTTACCAGGGTACGTTCTGGCAGTACCCTGGGGGACATAGACCCTATGAGCATAACTAAACATGAGAAGAGGTATTATCATTATACAACATCATCCCTGCTTTATAGTGATGGGGGTAACTTTACAGTATCTATACTAGGATGGTGGTGGGGGTGTGCTGAACGGAGGTGGTTAACTCCCCACCACTCCTCACTTCCATGTTTCTACAAGCTACATACTGAAAGCAGTTAGTGAATATCACCTCGTGTAGGTATGCGGTGGTGATCTAATTAACGTTGCGTGCCCGTGAAACATAAATTGCCGCGCCGCATAACTTTGACATTAAATTACTTGGTGACAGCTGGCGCGTCATTGCAATACAATTTATGTACATTTGTTCGTGGTTAATTATTGCTCCCGATTCATGCAGCGAGGCTGCAGCTTGCTTGTCGTGTCGTTCGTAGGGATGATGGCCGATAGGGTTCCTTTATAAACTAGTCATTCCGTTTGTGCCTCTGCTGTCATACTCATATCGTGTGTGTACAGTTCTTTCTGCGCGTATGTGCAATGAATGCACTTGCGCAACTCTCCAGTGTATATTATCAAGCAGGCAAAAATGTACAGAATACTGGAGCTTGGTACCACCTGGAGAATTAACATTTATGAGTGTCCAGGACATCAGTGGATATTTTGCTTTGATCAGTCTTCCTATTGAGGTGTGCATTGAATTCGTGTATATTTGTGAGTCTGATATTATATGGTTCTCCCCAGGCGGCCAGGCCTAACACATGATGAGACCAACATACATACAGTACATACAACACATGCAGTCATACATACATACAACACAGTCATACATACGTACGGTACGTACGTACAGTCATACATACGTACGGTACATACGTACGGTACGTACGTACAGTCATACATACGTACAGTCATACATACGTACAGTCATACATACAATACAGTCATACAAACACACAATTAGCTGAAGATAATTTGGGACATTTTATAAATTCTCCGACATGCTTTAGCTGCCTAATCACCATGCTTTTATTTCCAGCTGGGTTGAATTTGGGAAATCCAAACGCAGTTATGCTCTGTTTTTACAGCTCAAAGTATACATCTCTGAACATTGGTCAAGTGCCCTCACATACCTTTTGAAGTTCTTTGGGGAAAACCTAGTATTATTACTTTCATACATAACCACAAATTAATGTGTGAAATTTATGTAAATGAGATGAAAATAATGCTTCCATTAGTGTTGTCAATCGGTTGTAATTTCGTAATCAATCATCGGTTGGACCTAAGTAACCGATGATCGGTTACAATCGGTTACTCGGGGTGTTGAATGCCTGCGTGTGCGAAACGTCGTGCGCATGTACGTGTGTGCATGTATGTGCTTGTTTAGCCCTGTTTACTGTTTGTTTTGCACTGTTTACTACTGTGTGTATAATACATGTATGTTAATAAAGGATAACTTGTATAGTAGCGATGATATCTCTGATTCTCATCACTTTTCCAAGTTTTCTTGTTCAAGTTAAAAAAAAAGATTTTTTTTCCCGATGAAATCGATTATGGATTTTGATAACCAAGCGCTTGGTTCGAGCCACTGTTCAACCGATGATCGAGTATAATCGATGATCGTGACATCACTAAGCGCTTGGTTCGAGCCACTGTTCAACCGATGATTGAGTATAATCGATGATCGTGACATCACTAGCTTCCATAATGTTTTAAAAAGCAATAAATAGCTCACTAGCTACAAAATTCAAGTCACTTATGCTGACATCCTAGAATTCAGTCAAACTCGGTACTTCACTATTTTTTTCTGATAATCATCAGCTCTTACTTTCGATGCTAATTTTTGTGCAAAAAATCAGTGATACTGCCTATCAATATGGAATGGGAGCATAACGTGAATCCTATGGTGATTTTTAATCCCGGATGAATAGTTTCTTACATTTCACAGAAATTTTTCAGTGATTGCTTTATCAAATTGGTCCATTTAGTTATATTTTATGCAAAACACTCAATTCTATTGTAAGTTTTTATTCAGTTCACATTAACGTTAATTTAGGTTTTTTTTAACGTGGGTATGTTCTAAATCTCATTCTAAACCTAAATCCCAATTTAGAGTAAAATAATTGTAAAACCTGATGCACATAATAGCCATGTGTGCAAGTGATGACGTTAGAGTCACGAGCGTACGTAAATGTCGTGTCAAATTCAAAACTGAAGCCAAATTTGCGGTGGTTTTTTAGATGGTGGAAAATCTTGTCAAGTTGGTTGGTCCTACTATATATGCATCAGTGAGCCATGCACCTTCATTGCATGGAGATGTGGTATATATCAACCTAATGGTGTATGTGGATAACAATGATTAGATTAACTTACAGTAGGTGACATCTGCAAACCTAATCACTAGTAGGAATTGTTGACTATGTATGCGTATGTATAGTGCAAGTTACGCATGCACCGAAGAGGTGCATGTTGATATAGCTGTCTAGGAAGAGTTGACTGGATCGTATGAGGTGACTATTTACAATCCCACTACTTAAGTGGTGCAGTTACAGTGATCTAGCAAATGTTAGGTTTCCTCTGCATAGGAGTGTATTTCTTGTCTGAACTCCCAAAAGCCAGCTGGGGAGTGCCCAGACATGTGAGGAATGGATGGCGATGTAGATTCGTAATTTCAGAGACTTTCGATCGTCGTCGACCTGATGCTGATGCTGTTATTATTTTTGCTGCCTGACGCTATTAGTATCTTTCATTGTAGGAGTGAGATACTGAGCGATGTACAGACAAGTGACAGGACGAAGCTTCCAGCTGGAAAAAGCATCGTTGTCATCGGTAAGCAGAAGACGTCCTCACCGAAAGTTGTTCTGATTATCTGCAAAATGTTGCAGCTAGTTGACGTCTAAAATGTACATGTTAGCTGGTTTTACTGTGTACTAACTAACGTTCAAACGGGTGCTGAATATCGACAAAACTTTAAGTGCTGTTGAACTTCTAACATGCTTGTGTTGTCTTTTAATGCGTAGCAGTTCGATTATTAGTGTACTGATTATCTCCCAAATCTCAGGAGTAATTATGTTCTGTGTACTCATTAGCAGCATTGAATGGATACCAGCTAACATTAAATTAGTGTAGGTATCCATCATCCAGGTGCCTTCTCTTCGCAGAATCATCACAGCATGCATCAGTGTTTGAATGTAACGTTGTGCGGGGTTTGTACGAGTTCTTGAACTTCTGTGAATGTTCTGTAATTTTAAAATGCCATTTTTAGGTCTTCAGAATCCTGAATAATAGACTATATTGTTAAGAAAAGTTTTCAGTAATGGATTGTTATTGTGTTTGTTTGTAAAAAGTGCTTAAAGTTGAGCTCACGTAGACCTGTCCTGTCCGAGAGACAATGAAATTTGCTCCGTGCAAGAGTGTGTTGACTCGTCATTGACTAGGCGGCACGAGTGTGTTCACTCGTCATTGACTAGGTGGCACGAGTGTGTTCACTCGTCATTGACTAGGCGACACGAGTGTGTTCACGGTCGTCATTGAACTAAGGTGACACGATGTGTGTGTCACTCGTCATGACTAGGCGACACGAGTGTGTTCACGGTCGTCATTGAACTAGGCGACACGAGTGTGTTGACTCGTCATTGACTAGGTGGCACGAGTGTGTTCACTCGTCATTGACTAGGCGACACGAGTGTGTTCACTCGTCATTGACTAGGTGACACGAGTGTGTTGACTCATCATTGACTAGGCGACACGAGTGTGTTCACTCGTCATTGACTAGGCGGCCTGAGGCGCAATGATTGTCGTACGGCTCACATCTCATGAATATGGAAATCAAACCTCTTTAAAGTTATTATTTCAACATAATCATGATATTTAAAAAAAGTAAATTGATTGATTGAAGTAAGTTGATTGAAGTAAATATGCCATGGTGTTGCGATGTATTCAAATCCAATTTTCTATGCTATAACTGCATGAAATCTTAGTGTTTTTCAAGTTGGTATAATCAGTAATATATCCACTGTGTGGTGAGGCTATATTTTTTTCAAATTGAGCGTTTCTGAGCAAGAATTTTGCAATATCCCCTTTGAGTTCTTGAAATCGCATCAGTTAATGTCGTCGGCTCCTTCTGTGTGGATTCTTTCCTGCGATTAATCAGAATGCTGTTGCTGCTCAGGTGATAACGAAGCCGGAAAGACGACACTGGTTGCAAAGTTGCAAGGAGTCGAGGATCCCAAGCGGGGAGCGGGGCTAGAGTACCACTACGTAGATGTACAAGACGAATATGGCGAAGGTATGTTGTTGTTTGTTATTGCAGAAATATCGTTCGTATTTTCCATCTGCTCGAACCCACCGCTACTCTCTTGACTGCCAGCGGGCGTTGCCTACACTGGCATATATTTGTGTTAGGCCTACTCCCGCACCTCCTGGGGTGCCTGCCGCATCAGTGCAGTGAATATTAATGGTGAACCATCTCCATTGGTAAACTTCTATTGTAGAATGCTTGATTCGAAAAACGGCAATGCAAGTCTCAGAAGAGCTCGCTGGGTTCTTTGCTAAGCCAGTATTAAAGTGCCCATGCATTTATATACTCGCATAAGAACGATTGCAACAAATATTGCCCTGCTTCTTAGTGGGAGGCTCGCCGTAACATGTGTTTTATTGGCGAGAATAATTAAATAATTATGATCGCGCGCGAGGTCTCCGCGTAGATGAAATGTTAATGCGCAAATCTCGAAAGACTATATTGTATATATAATTCATCCACGGACAGCGATGGCTGTTTAAGTCCTTGGTCGTATTTAGACTGCCTCACTGAAGCTCGGAAGTAATGGGCCGTAGGTCTTTGGTGAAGGTCTCTCACTGGTCGTATTTACGCAGCCTGACTGAAGCTAGAAGTAATCGGCGACAGACTATTCTATAACTACGACTATAATATATTATATCAAGAGTACATAATAGAGATCTCTATTATCTCTAGAGATCTATAGATCTCGAGATATCTATAGATCTCTAGAGATCTCTATTATCTACTCTTGATTATATATGACTATAACTAACGAGTTCTGAACGCGTTTGCCCGCGCGGCGCAATTGCGCGCTGACCTCTTCTCTCACGTCACACCCCTCCTCCTTGATCCCACAGCTCAGTCTCGGCTGGGCGTGTGGACGCTCTACCTCTCCCCTCCCCTTCTCTCCACCAACCTCGTCTCTATATCTCCCCTTCATCACGCAGATCAGTCTCGGCTGGGCGTGTGGACACTACCTCTCCCCTACCCTTCTCTCCACCAACCTCGTCTCTATATCTCCCCTTCTTCATCATGCAGATCAGTCTCGGCTGGGCGTGTGGACGCTCTACCTCTCCCCTACCCTTCTCTCCACCAACCTCGTCTCTATATCTCCCCTTCATCACGCAGATCAGTCTCGGCTGGGCGTGTGGACACTCTACCTCTCCCCTCCCCTTCTCTCCACCAACCTCATCTCTATATCTCCCCTTCTTCATCACGCAGATCAGTCGGCTGGGCGTGTGGACGCTCTACCTCTCCCCTACCCTTCTCTCCACCAACCTCGTCTCTATATCTCCCATTCTTCATCACGCAGATCAGTCTCGGCTCGGCGTGTGGACGCTGGACGGCGACCCGCACCACACCAACCTGATGAGTCCACACCAACCTCGTCTCTATGTCTCCCCTCCCTTCTTTCCTCTATTCTCATCTCTCGTCTCTATATCTCTCCTTCTTCATCACGCAGATCAGTCTCGGCTCGGCGTGTGGACGCTGGACGGCAACCCGCACCACACCAACCTGATGAGTTCACACCAACCTCGTCTCTATGTCTCCCCTCCCTTCTTTCCTCTATTCTTATCTCTCGTCTCTATATCTCCCCTTCTTCATCACGCAGATCAGTCTCGGCTGGGCGTGTGGACGCTGGACGGCGACCCGCACCACACTAACCTGATGAAGTACGTGCTGACGAGGCGCGGCTTCGCCGACACGGCCGTGCTGCTCATCGCGTCCATGGCAACGCCGTGGAGCATCGTCGACTCGCTGCGCAGCTGGACGACGATCCTGCAGGACGCCGTAGATCGGCTGCGCGTCGCCCCCGACGACATGCGCCAGCATCAGGACCGCAGTGAGTCTCTCGCGCTCGCGTAAAATGAGTCGCCGACCTTTGAAGGGGTGTGCGTCGTGCAAATGTTAATGACACTTTAGGCTTATAATAGTCACAACCTTATAAAATTAACAACTTATAATAGTAACATCAGGACCGGAGTGAGTCGCTCGCATACGCATAAAATGAGTCACCACCGACATTTGAAGTTGAGGACTCTTTAGACTTATAATAGTCACAACCTTGTAAAATTAACAACTTATAATAGTAACATGAGGCGCGTATAAAATGAGTCGCCGACCTTTGAAGTTAACGACACTTTAGACTTATAATAGTCACAACCTTATAAAATTAACAACTTATAATAGTAGCATCAGGACCGGAGCGAGTCTTGCGTGCGCGCCGCGCCGCGCTGTCCGTCAAACGAGGTGTTCTTCTGTTCACATGCGTTGCCTCTGTATTTTCAACGTATGTGTGGTGACAATGGGTTAGGCCATTCATTGAAATATAATTGTTGTGGTATCACGACATGGCTACTCCTCGTAATGCAAGAACAGAGAGGGGAATTCGAAAAAAGGTTAATCTCGGGACCCGACGTCGGAAGCATCATAAGTAGTTATGACACGATTCTAAAATGAGTCTAAAATGAGTCACCGACCTTTGAAGGAATGTGTCGTGCAGATGTTTACGACACTTTAGACTTATAATAGTCAAAACCATTCATGAAGTTTCCGACAACGGACGACCCACGTCTCTTTTTTTTGGCCACGTATCGTAGATTTTTTTTGCCCACCACCATTCATACTTTTGAACGATATACCGATATTGACGTCCATTATTCGATGGCACTAATCCGCCGCCGTCCTACCCTCCTCGCAGTCGTGGAACAGTTCCAGCGATACGTTGAGCCGGAGGAGAGCGCGGAGGATGCGATGACGACGTCGCGGCGGTCGGTCGGTCCGCTGTTGTCGCCGGACGAGGGAGACGTGACGCTGCCGCTGGGAGAGGGCGTGCTCGTGCACAACCTGGGTCTGCCGATCATCGTAGTCATCACGAAGGTGAGTGTGGCGTGCCGATCATCGTAGTCATCACGAAGGTGAGTGTGGCGTGCCGATCATCGTAGTCATCACGAAGGTGAGTGTGGCGTGCCGATCATTGTAGTCATCACGAAGGTGAGTGTGGCGCGGCGGTGAGCATCGTGCTTGGGCTGCCCTCGTGGGTGGTAGCGTGGATGTGCGTGCGCTCGGGCTGCCATAGTAGCTGGAAACACGTGTTGTCCCACATCACATCATGTAGCTGGAGACAGGTATGGTGTCCCTTGTCACATAGCTGGAGACACACATGGGGTACCTTGTCACAATGCTGGAGATGCACGTTGGGTCTCTTGTCACATAGTTGGAGACACGCGTGGGGTCCCTTCTCACATACCAGAAGACACGTATGATCTTCATTGTCACATAGTTGGAGACACACATGGGGTCCCTTGTCACATACCAGAAGACACGTATGATCTTCATTGTCACATAGTTGGAGACACACATGGGGTCCCTTGTCACATACCAGAAGACACGTATGATCTTGAGACACACATGGGGTCCCTTGTCACATACCAGAAGACACGTATGATCTCCATTGTCACATAGTTGGAGACACACATGGGGTCCCTTGTCACATAGGTAGAGACACGTATGATCTCCTTTGTCAAATGGCTGGAGACACGCGTAAACTACTTTGATTGTAAAATTGTATTACCCCGAGCACATAGATGCAATTATCGATGTCGAATATTGTGCAGATACGTTCGTGGTAAAGCGTGGGCTCTATCGTGTCAGAATATGCGAGGTGAGGGTGTTGTAGTGCAAGCGGCGAGTAAAGGTTTGTGTCGCGGATCACGTTGCAGTGTGACTACGTATCGAACCTGGAGAAGGAGTACGACTACAGGGACGAGCACCTCGACTTCATTCAGCAACACATCAGAAAGTTCTGTCTTTCATGTATCCTTCACGCTAATGTACGGATCGCGAAACGATGCGAATCTCAGCACGTAGTTTTCGTTACAACTGACTTGAGCGAGGTATCTAAGTAAATGCGCGTACGCACGCCAAATTGTCGACTTTGCGACATTTTGTTGCTAAGCAGCATTGTTAGAATGCTCCCATGACAATGCTAATTGGCTAGAGCCACTTGTCAATCGCTCAGCGGGTAGATCTATTTCATCTTCAGTTCGCACAGATGTAAGTTGTTGAAGATATATGTGTTGTAAGACCGTAGAGCTAGCATCCATGCACGAAGTGAGGGCTCCCTGCATGCAATGAACATTTGAACTGTCCGCTTTATCGGTGCAAGTGGTAGAGACGAGAGTACTAGAGGTTTTTCGCAACACGTTGGAGAACCGTGCAGATCTACACGTATAGCCACACGATGGCGCCGCTATCTCCTTGACCGCTCTCCGTCAGTCGGTGCCTCGTTGTTTTACACTTCGATAAAAGACGATAAAAACTGTGACCTGCTGTACAAGTACATCATGCACCGGTTGTACAGACTACCTTTCAATATTCCGGCTCACGTCGTTGAAAAGGACTCCATTTTCATGTAAGTTTGTAGTTTCTGTTCTGTTATGGGTTACAGAGCCTGAACATGCCACTGTGTCTAACTGCAATGGAACAAAGTGCAGCATTCCTGTATTAGTTACTGAATGCTGATGAGGTATATTTCTAGTATGGGCTCTTTGAGGGAAAAATATATGGGGATAAATAGTGTATATCTGTGCATGCAGGATTTTTGGAAGGGAGGCTGCCTCTACATGGTAAAAATTTCCGAAACCAGTGTTCAAGGCATGCGCAGGCCTAATGCATAGGCAGTCCTACGAAATTAGTGTTACTTGATAAATTGTGGACCTTTTTTGAAGGGTTATTTAAAATAATAATAAGAGAGAGGAACTGTTTAAAATAGAAAACTGTAGAAAATCTGACAAGAATTTCAGTGAAGAATTGGACTGGGCATAGAATCTGAAGTTTAAGTAGCAAAAATAAACAGTATGTATGTATTCCCCAAACATGTAGATGTCATTAGCTGAGCAACCACTGTAACCTTGTATTTCAGACCGTCTGGCTGGGACAACGAGAAAAAGATCAGCATTCTGTTTGACAACATGAACAGCATGAAACCAGATGATAGTTACACATCAGTCATCTCAAAGCCTTCCATGAGAAGGGTAGGTATTTATGTTATATGCATATGTATGGGCACCTCGAAGTCTTCCATGAGAAGGGTAAGTGTATATGTTCAATGAATGTGGAAGGTCATCTCAAAACCTTCCATGATGTAGGCATTTATGTTCTATGATTTGGGAAGGGAGGACAGAGTAAATACAGATGTGTGGCAGCGCTGATGGTATCAGGACTGTATGAATTGATGAATTGTCTATATGTAAGGTAAACAATTATTATTAATGTATTAAAGCACAATACAGCAAAGTAAAACTATAAGTAATAACAATAATAAAGTATAAGTAGTTTAGAGTATGAAACACTAGCAAATGTTTTAAGAGTACAAATTGGATGAAAAATTAATGACCCTCTGCAAAGATGTACGAATGATCTGCGCAGGGCATTCCACTTACAGAGTGTATTATTCTTGCAGCCGGTTAATAGAGAGATGGAAGTTGCAGCCGAGGAAGAACAGATGTTCTTGATGAAGCTACAGACACAACTCAACACACAGGCACCAGCCGGTGGCAGGCAGGTAAGCGGGAATTACCCAGTAGTGACACGTATACTCAATTACCAGTCTGCTCCAAGTCTGGTGGAAACAGTAGCACTAATAGCAACACACGGGGATATACTGTCGGCATCGATTAATATTCTCTATTGAAATAGGTAGCGTAGGTATTCTACTACAATAAAATGGTACTACAGGCAATGGCATGCTTCTGGCATATAGCGTGCAATAGCTAGTGCAGGCTGGATGTCATAGCTAGTGCAGGCTGGATGTCATAGATAGTGCTGGCTGGATGTCATAGCTAGTGCTGGCTGGATGTCATAGCTAGTGCAGGCTGGATGTCATAGCTAGTGCAGGCTGGATGTCATAGCTAGTGCTGGCTGGATGTCATAGCTCTGCTGCCTGGATGTCCACGCTACGTGCTGGCTGGCTTCCATAGATAGTGCAGGCTGCATGGCATAGATAGTGGCAGGCTGGATGGCATAGCTAGTGGCAGGCTGATGTCATAGATAGTGGCTGGCTGAGTCATAGTAGTGCTGGCTGATGTCATAGATAGTGGCTGGCTCGGATGTCAACGCTAGTGGCAGCTGGATGTCATAGCTAGTGCTGGCTGGATGTCATAGATAGTGCAGGCTGGATGTCATAGATAGTGCTGGCTGGATGTCATAGATAGTGCAGGCTGGATGTCATAGATAGTGCTGGCTGGATGTCCAATAGGATAGTGGCAGCTGGAGTGTCATAGATAGTGCTGGCTGGATGTCAATGAGCTAGTGGCAGGCTGGATGTATAGATAGTGCTGGCTGATTCATAGCTAGTGAGGCTGGATGTCATAGATAGTGGCCAAGGCCTGGATGCATAGCCTAGTGCAGGCTGGATGTCCCATAGCTAGGTGCAGCTGGCATGGCATCCGGCTAGTCGTGGCTGGATTCATAGCTAGTGCAGGCGTGGATGTCATAGCAGTGGCAGGCTGATATTATATGATAGTGCTGGCTGGATGTCATAGAGTAGTGCTGCTGATGTCATAGCTCAGTCAGGCTGGATGTCCATAGCTGCTGCGGCTGGATGTCATAGGGTACTGGCTGGCTGGATGTCGCATAGCTAGTGCGGCTGGATGTCATCGCTAGTGCTGGCTGATGTCATAGCTAAGTGCTGGCGTGGATGTCCTAGATAGGCAGGTTGGATGCATAGCAGTGCGAATTCATAGCTAGTGCTGGCTGGATGTCATAGCTATGCGCGACCTGGGCTGTCATCAGCCTAGCTGCTGGCTGGAGGTCAATAGCTAGTGCACGCTGGATGTCATAGCCTAGTGCAGGCTGCGATGTCCCCTACAGCTAGTGCCGGTGGACCAAGATAGTGCTAGCGCGCTGTCATACGCTAGATGCGCAGGCTGGATGTTATAATACGTGCTCTCGGGATGCATAGCTAGTGCCTGCCTGGCCATGTCAGTCGCGATGAGGCCTGGACTGTTCATAGATATGCCAGGCCCTCGATGTCCATAGCTAGTGCATGGCTGGATGTCATAGCTAGTGCTGGGCTGGGTGTCATAGCTCGTGCTGGCTGGATGTCATAGCTAGTGCTGGCTGGATGTCCTAGCTAGTGCCGGCTGGATGTCATAGATATGCAGGCTGGATGTCATAGATCGTGCAGCTGGATGTCATCAAGCTAGGGCAGGCTGGAATGTCATAGCTAGTGCTGGCTGGATGTCATAGCTGAGTGCAGGCTGGAGTCATAGATAGTGCCGTCCTGATGTCAGAGATAGTGGCTGGCTGGATGTCATAGATAGTGCCGGCTGGATGTTACTAGCTTAGGCTGGCGTGGATGTCCTAGATAGTGCAGCGCTGGGATGTCATAGCTAGTGCAGCCTGGATGTCATAGCAGTGCTGGCTGGATTCATAGCGTATGCAGGCTGGATGTCATAGCTCGTGCGCAGGCTGGATGTCATAGCTATTGCTGGCTGGATGTCATAGATAGTGCAGGCTGGATGTTATAGCTATTGCTGGCTGGATGTCATAGATAGTGCAGGCTGGATGTCATAGCTAGTGCTGGCTGGATGTCATAGGCTAGTGTCTGGCTGGCAGTCAATAGCTAGTGCTGGCTGGATGTCATAGATAGTGCAGGCTGGCTGTCATAGCTAGTGCAGGGCTGGATTGTCATAGCTATTGCTGGCTCGGATTGTCATAGATAGTGGCAGCGCTGGATGTTATAGGGCTATTGCTGGCTGGATGTCCATAGATAGTGCAGGCTGCTGTCATAGCTAGTGCTGGCTGGATGTCATAGATAGGGCTGGCTTGATGTCTAGATAGTGCTGCTGGATGTCGATAGCTAGTGCTGGCTGGATGTCATAGCTAGTGCCGGCTGGCTGTCAATCCCGCGTAGTGCAGGCTGGATGCATAGCTGGTGCCACGGCTCGATGCGCATCAGTAGTCCTGGCTGGATGTCATAGCTAGTGCTGGCTGGATGTCATAGATAGTGCCAGCTGGATGTCCTAGCTAGTGCAGGCCTGGGATGTTATAGATTGTGCTGCCCTGATGTCATACCCTAGTGCGGCTGGATGTCATAGCTGGCCTGGCTGGGTGTCATAGCTCGTGCTGGCTGGATGTCATACCTAGTGCAGGCTGGTATGTCACTAGATAGTGCAGGCTGGATGTCCATAGCTAGTGCTGGCTGGATGTCATAGCTAGCTGCAGTGCTGGATGTCTCCGCTAGTGTTGGCTGGATGTCATAGATAGTGGCTGGCTGGAGTCATAGCTAGTGGCAGCTGATGTCATAGATAGTGCAGCGGATGTCATAGATAGGCTGGCTGGATGTCATAGCCTAGTGCAGGCTGGATGTCATAGCTAGTGCACAGGCTGAGCATAGCTATGTACAGGCTAGGGCGTAGCGGATCATGCTAGGCTGGGATGTCATCTAGTGCAGGCTGGATGTCATAGATAGTGGCTGGCTGGATGGCATAGCTAGTGCAGGCTGGATGTCATAGCTAGTGCAGCTGCAGCTTGTAGAATCGCATGATTGTCCGTGCGTGCGTGCGTGCGCGTAGGGTCAACTGTGGGCACTAACTCCTAACACGGCTCGAGTCACGGTCAGATATTCGGACGTAGGGGATAATCCGAAACGGTTGGGTGTCGAAGCTGGGGTCAAAGGTCCAACCGGGTCAATGGCAGGAGTGTCAAAGATGGAGAAGACATGTCCCTCCTTAGACTTAGGTATAGGGGGAAATGCCAGCAATTGCGCAGCTAATCTAAATGGCTCGACCTAGGCTCGTGATAGTCGGTGTATAGCATCATGGTAGGAAAAGCCATCACTGTGCCGAAATTGGAGGTCAAAGGTCAATGGGGCACAGGGCAGATTTTAGACATTTTCTGAGGACATGGTCTGACGGGGCGATTGAAAATCTTTTTTGCTTCAGCGGTGACCTACCATTTTTATGGCTTTATTGAAAGGACCATGAAATGTACTTTCCGCTGACATGCGAAGAGTAAGTGTCTGATAACCTTTTGACCCTGAAAGGGAGGGTTCAACATGGATTTGTTGACCGTTATTAGTGTTAACAAAGGACTGAACTGCTTTTGCTATTATTAGAGCCCATACCTGTGTGGATGCGAGGCTACATTTGCAGTTCAATTGCAAAGACAAAAGTTTGTTGAACAAGGTTTACCCTCCTTAAATCATATTATTTTCTAAAGCAGTCTGTATATTAATAGCACCCTGAATGCTAGCATGGCTACCGGCATCCGAAATGTAGGCAAAAACCCGGGGGCAATCCATTACTGATGCATGGGGGTGAACTGGCACTTTTCTAATAAACATGCACACCTGCAATGCAGATGTGTTTAATTTATTACTCACAGCTGAGCCAAATTGTCGCCTGCCTGAATATACCTGGATTTTAGCCTATACATTTCAGCAACTTTTTATGGAATTAGGTTATCTCTACTTTCTTGACTTATCACCAATGCGCGAAGGTCGATGCCATGTTTGATTATTGATTACACTTGCACGCGCCATCTCGCGGTAACTATAGGCCTAGTGATACATTATGACACGAATATATAAGACAGTCGAGCAGGTATGAAGTAGAATGCATTGTTAGGGTTTAGTTTTAGTGTTAATACCTATATGCTACACAGTTTTGATGATGACGTAGCCGGTTTAGCGATAGAACAGGCTTTCAACCTTTTTGCAGAAACGAAAGCTAGTACAGTAGAGCAGCAGACGGCAGATGAGCACTGTCGCTGTTGCGGCACTAGTTGTCATGAAGTGCGCAAGACATGTTGGCGTGTATCGGTGACATTTACCGTTGTGCGTTAATGACGTAAATCTTTAACTCGTGCAGGAATCTCCAGTTAGCGTGCAGAAGGACAGGCGGGTGTCCGGCTCTCCAGGCATGCCCAGTGGAAGTCCCAAGGTAAGAAACACATCGTCTCAACATCTTCCATCTCTGTCTAACCACACGTAGGGTGTCTCGCGAAATTTTATACGCATTTCAGTGAGGAATATCTATTTGTGTTTTTACGCTTAGAGAAAAAATTGAACGTGCATCTAAGTTATGTGAAATGAACATGTTCTCACACGCCCACAAAACAGATTTAGTTACGGAATTAGTCACTAAGTTTACAACTTCCAAGGGGTTCCTCGTGTGACTGCTATGTGATGAACCGATAATTCGGCGGGTAAGCTAAGAGGATTTTGGTCAGCAACGTCGCTTCTGATTCCACAGATAGATGCTGGCAAGGTGCCAGCTGGCCCAGGAAGCGAAGGAGTGCTAGCCAACTTCTTTAACTCATTACTAAGTAAGAAGACCGGATCGCCAGGTTCTCCCGGAAGCACCCCCAAGACAGGTACGATGTACTTTTTTCTACGCTCCTTCGTGGGTTGGTTCGCCGACGCTTGCACTATCACTAGTTGGTAGCTGTATGCTTTTAATTAAATTGCTAATTAAATTTTATAGTTTACATATATATTATACTTTTATGTTCATTAATTTTATAGTTAATTTGTATTTTAACACAGGTATGAATGTATGGTGGTCAGTGAGAACATTTTATAAAAAGTTATCACATGTATATTCTCAAATATTTAATAATAGTATTAATTTATCATTTGATTGGGATTCGCCCCTCTCTCTCCCTCCTCTCTCTTCCTCTCTCCATCGTTTCCTCCCTGCATCCCTTCTTCCCTCCCTCCATCCCTCCATCCATCTACTTCATCCTCTCTCTCCCTCTATTTTCTTAACATTTTAATACATTCTAAACGCTTTCCCCTATGCTACTGCAAACGTTATCTCTCCTTCCTTCTCTTCCTCCCTCCCTCCCTCCTCTTCTTCCCTCTTCTCTTTCCCTCCATCCATACATCCCTCCATCTACTTCCCTCCTCTCTTTCCCTCAATCCATACATCCCTCCATCTACTTCCTCCTCTCACTCCCTCTCTTGTGTTAACATTTTAATACATTCTAAACGCTTTCCCCTATGCTACTGCAAACGTTATCTCTCCTTCCTTCTCTTCCTCCCTCCCTCCCTCCTCTTCTTCCCTCTTCTCTTTCCCTCCATCCATTCATCCCTCCATCTACTTCCCTCCTCTCTTTCCCTCCATCCATACATTCCTCCATCTACTTCCTCCTCTCCCTCCCTCTCTTGTGTTAACATTTTAATACATTCAAAATGCTTTCTCCCTGTGCTACTGCAAACTTTATCTCTCGGACCCGTTGCTATAACACCGACATTCCGCGCCTTTCAGAAAAGGGAACGCGCAGTGACGTGGCGGCAGAGCTGGATAGAATGACGCGGGGTCAGAAGTCGCCGTCAATCAACAACTTGCCGAGTCCAAGCCAAGAGAACGACCGACCCTAGACTCGACGCTAGTTCACCGTCTGTCCGTCAGTTGTCAGCACCGGTGGCACAGACGTGGCCTACTAACGCGGGGAGCGTGCGCGCGGGCGTGCGGAGGAAGCGACTGTATCAGACGCCTCCGTTCGTCCAGGAAGTGCTGGAGGATGCAGCCATGCTGGCGCCATCTGCCAACGCAAAGACGACCACGTTCGTATAGAGCAGATTGCATGCAGCTCTCCTCGACCACAATCATAGGCCCGTGCATCGCTCTGCATCCTAATTCTGCGTGGCCGCCTTCCTGCAATGGTCTACATAGGAAGCGTGTTTTTGATTATAAAATGGTGTTATTATCGTATAAATAGTTATTGGGCAATCTGACGTGAACAAAGGTCTTCTAATGGCCAACAAGGTTTTCTTCTGCCGCGTATGTATAATAATACGTATCGCATGTGAACGGTTTTCAACAGGATTATTCAAATCACATTCGAAGCTGGGGAAAGGTGATCGATAGCTTCCTACATTTCTATGGAACGTCATTCCGTCACGAAATCATTGCATTGATCGGAAACACGAAAGCTGTTTTTTTAGGTCCGAGGGAAGCAAATTTATGGTTTTCTAATAACTTTGATACTGTCCACTATGCCGTATATTTTTGTAATGTATCCGCGCGGGGAAACATTGCTTCCGACTTGGTCCCATAAATGGCGCTGACGAACTAGCTTTGATCGTTTTTTCGTGGCGTCACGATTGTGCGTCTGTAGTAGCAGTGTGGCATTACGTGGGAGAGCAAAACTAAATTCTCTTTCCAACTTCATTGAGCCTTATCGGGCGATCCTATCCGAGCGCTTTCAGCCTCAAGTCACGACCAGGACGAAGAGGAATAAAAGACAAACGTGCCTCAATTTAAAATTGTGAAATTCGTTAAGTTTGCTCTGGATCCGTTTCCCAAGGTCGACCCCCCTCTCTATGGGAAACGGTTAATCGTCCGCTGTTGATTAGGTTTGACGTGCTCGTCATTACGGAGGACCCTCTTTAGTCTTTACCTGTCGGAGTGTGTTGTCTATTACCGTAAGTGTGACCGACGATGGTCGAATAACGACGCTGGTTGCTTTCATTTCTCTGGTCTGACATGCCTCATTGAGAGGCGGCGGCTAGACTCCCCTCTAGCGCGCGATTTTGTGGTGCTTATATTTTTTGCTTCAGTGTCTTACTAGTAAGGTTCCTTTTGTTTGCGAATACCCTTTCGTTAGTGCTAGTACGTCGTGACGTGGGTAGAGGGCGCCTCTGATCAGCGGCAGCCTTCCTCACGGGTGAAGCTTGGTAGGTATCTGCATTGTGATTGTACATGTATGCAATTAATCAATCAAGCTTACGCACGCGTTATTTCGATAGCTTTGAGGCCCGCAGACAAATCACGTTGCCGGATTTGCCAGATAAAGGCGAATCCGTCTGCATGTAGATGAAAATTGTGTATATACATTCCCAATTATTTTAATTATATATACTTTTTTTAAAGTGTATTATTACACGTAGGTAGTATTTCCAAGTATGAAAGTCTATTGTACACAGATGGTCCTCACTATGCTAATAAAATCACAGTGGTAATTAATTATTTATAATGTAGATTTAGACGTGGAATTCATTTGATACTTGCCAATGTGGATGCATTAATTAAAGTGCATAGACGTACTATTGCAGGTTAGCATCATTGCTGGGGCTCATGGCAATAGCTGTCCAGCAATCCCCCGTCATTCTCTGTGAGGAGCTGATTTATATATATTTATCAGGAGTGAATAGTAATATCTATTATTATACACTCCTGTATATATGTTAACAACGACTCATGCAAAACACCTGGCCCAGCGGCCTGGCTATGCTGGGTAAGTGGCTAGCTGATTCCTCATGCATGGCCAGCGAATATGGTATGCAGTGTATGCTGAAGCGCACTTGCCACTAAATTTAGATTAAGCAAGCCTGCATCCACACCTCTGGTGCTTTGCAATGTACTGGGCAGGCTACATACAGAGCATTATAGAGGGTTGTTGGACTATTATGTTCCCGCAGGCCAATGCAACTATGCTAACCTATAAAAGTACAATCTAGCCACCTTAACATCCAGCTGGTATCTGATAGCAAAGGAATTGTAAATAAAAAAAGGTCTTGAGGTCAGAGTAGGCCTGGTCTTGGTTGTATATGGCTACTTGGCACGGTTTTAAAGTATGTGATGATTCTCTGAAGTTACTGCATTCAGCTCTCTCTTCTTGTTGTTGTTATAGATAACCATATCGAATGGCTATTGATTGTGGTTGCTTACTGTAGCTAATACCTTCCATTTCTGACTTTAGTGTAGTTGCTGTGATATCCATTAATTGAGGTGTAAAGTAAAAATTACTGGAGCCAATACCTACCTACATCTTCTATAACTTCCGTGTCATTGAAGGTTAATGATTCCCTATTGTTGCTGCTGCCGCCATCTATCTCTCTGCACGAGTGAAAGTGTTACTCCACGCCCTTCCAGATATACTGTTGTTTGTTGCTTCACCAGGATTATGTGTACTGTACCTGTACCCTGTAGTAAGTACGACAGCGAGTGCCTTCGATACTCCAGCTTGGGTTCTAGGGGAGCAATACATTTTGTATGTGTGGAGAAGAGAAAACCCCCGAGAGAGAGAGTGAGCAAAATCTCACTCGACTTTGATCGAGTGCCCTTGCAAATGAAGAAATCATCTCACTGTTGTCGAGAGTTGCACTGTAAAGCGATTAGGTTGTGAAGCGATAATATGCCAAATGTTATGGCCGCCAATCATATACGAAATTAAATGCTTTAATGTGCCGCTGGTAAGCGCAACAACTTCAATCAAACCTAGTGAGGGGAAACCCATGTTATACTCTGCTAAATGTGTGTGCGCCAACAGTAGCACGTGAACACATCACAGGGTATTTAGGCATATATATATATATATATATACATCGCACAGGGACAGATCATCCACATATAGAACTGAGCAGCGGGGGATATTTGGATCAGCAGCCGTGGCGGCTGACGTGTATGTATGATTGCGTGTGTCTGTTAAACCCTACTAAATACATGGCAACGGCAGCGTACAATGCTTACCAATGCCAACCTCATTCTTCACAGTTGATTGTATAGTCATCATATATGCTTGAATAAATCTGTCTGAATTTTGAGGAACATAGCTTTATTATGCTTTCATTTACAGTACTGCAACTATAACATAATGTGCCAGAGCTTCGAAAATCTAGTATTGCATGTTTCGCCCATGCGCGCACGCACGCACGCACGCACGCACCAACCCCGGCACGCACGCACGCACGCTTCCATCTGCTGTTATGTGGCCACAAAAGCATCCCTCCTCTATACGGAACCTGACCATTAAACTAGTGGGGGGTACAAAATTGAACAGCCTCGGTGGGTGGGTGGTTGGTTGCCATTTGGGAGTCCTTGGGGGGGGGGTCATCGGCACTCTCCTTCGCAAATCTACCTCTGTGGCGTTATCAAAACTTACAATGATCGATCGTTCGTTAATCACGAATACCATGATTATATATTAACATCGTGCTCGTCATCCTGCTACCACCTCTACATTCTTCTTCACATTAGCTATTTAGCACCATTGCAGCATGTGAGAATGGCAAATTATACAACCTAATATATATATATATATATATATATATATATAGTATACTTATATAGCTTCAACGGCATAACAATAGGCTATGTGTAGTCACATTGGTAGTTTACATCTGACAATAGCCTTTATTACGAAGTGATGATTATATAATACTAGTGATAAGTCTAAAGCCTTATACCTGTATTTTAAGATATGCAATATGCATCCATAGTTTTACGTATTACTTATGAACGTCTCTATATATGATATATATATATATATATATATATATATATATATATATATATATATAGTATAGATATGTTCACAATATTACGGTATGATCAGCTTGATGCAACAAGTAACCTGCAGCAGTAATAGTGGCAATGATCACGTTAAACGAATGCACAGTGGCAGCTATAAACCACAGTTGCTTAATTGTTACGACATTTAAAAGGCTTGAAATCACACGATTCGATGGGACTGTAAAGCCAAATAAATTACAGGGGTAAACGGTAACTCAACGCACCACCTTGCAAACAGAGAAAACGAGTGAATATGACTTTAACAACGTGACTGGGAAAATATTTTTTTTACAAAAGAGAAAACAAAAATATGAAAATATCACAGAATAAAACCTTCCCTGCCTGCAACGCAACCTATACTTACACTCATCACAGCCTACAGCAAAGCCAACAAGAGAATTAATATATACCATATACCCTGTTGATTCTATAGTTGTAGTCATTGCTAAGGCTATTAAAACTGTCGTTTGCAAAACTTATTTAATGTGCATACAGTATATTGAATATCGAATTGTAATATATAATATAATATATAATATATATTGAAATCAATTGTATATTGAATATCTATGCATGTTGAATGTGCATACTGTACACACCTACTAGTATCATCTTCTGTTTGATAAAGTAGTGGTTAGCAAGCCTAGACTCAAACATTAGAATTACTAATGGGACATTTGGGAATTTGTAATTTTCTCATTGGCTGTGTTATTGACACAAATGATATCTATACCTAGTACACACTATTGCAATCTGTGAATATTTTTCCATTCCATCAGCAATTCTCATCACAATTGTTTAACAACGCAAGAACTGACTGACAGAGTCATATGAAATGATGCAATGACAATGCAGCAGTAGAGCAAACGTACAGGACTGTTGCGCACAACTTTCACTTACCACATACCGCTATACCAAAAACACTGACAAAAAATTCCTTTTAAATACGTGGCACGTTCGGTGCTATGCTGTAACAACCACAGATGGTGTTACGAATCCATTCACGAATTAGAAAGTGCATAAAAAGCTAGTGTTTACGCAGAACTTTATCGCACGAGTCACTCTAAACAGTAGTCATTTAATAAGCAGACAAAATTACATAAAACGTCACTTTGGTAAACAACTGTCATTCTCAAACAATTTGTGGTAAAGAGTATTCCTTTTTATACAACACCATTGCGCAACATTATAGCCGAGAGCGATTGCCACTAAAGCACAGTAGCTAAAATTATGGCCGTGCCAAATTGCGATTGGTGTACGTCCAGACACGTTGATAAGCGTCGTCACACACCGCGAGTGATCCAACGTTATGCGCACCGCAGCTTCTCATGCAACGCTGCCGTTAGACGCCGGCGCCAACTGTTTCACCTTTTCAATGTTGTGGTCGACAACGTTTACGAGGAAGTCCATCCACTCATTGTCCTCCTCAGCACAGATGTGGGTCCCCCTGGTGGTATGAAGAGTATACAATTACATTGTTTTACAATACATTATAATGATATATAATGTATATAATAATAATTATAATAATATAATATATATATACATTATATATATATTCTAATTATCTACATGTATATATGATTTATATATATTTACAATGCTTTTCGCAGGAGTAACCCAACACTATGAGTAGAGACTGTTTCCCTGCAGATCACCACTGTAGTCTCGTGAGTGTGGTACATCATGGTTAAGAGCCAAAAATCATCGCATTGTACTAACTACGTGTTATGAACTGGACATAGATGAGCAACAAACTATTAGTAAATGACCTCTGAAGACCCAACAGGACAATATGAACGTGTAAATTGTCTTCATGTAAATCGTTGTAATGTGTGTTTTGTTATCATTTTTGAACATCTAGTGCAGTGCTTCTTAGACTGGTGAATGGTTTACCCAAGGGTGAATAAAATTATTTTGGGGTGAACGAAAATTAGTGAAAAACGTAAGGAAATTTAGTCAGGGGTGAATGAAATTTTGTGATAAAGACTCGATGGTGAACGACACCAAAGACCCTATATACTATATAGAATTATATAGAAGTATATATAGGGTCTTTGACGACACTGAAATAGTTTGCCAAGCACTGATCTAATGCACCTCTCTTTTCGAGAGATCGCTGATCTGCATCGTCCATCTTACCGAGCGAAGGCAAGCAGCGCTTTAACGGTGTTGGCCAGCTTCACGGAGTTTAGTCGGACGGACGCGTGGCTGAGCGGCGGGTAGAGAACCGTAATCAGGTCGTCCACGGCCGGGCTCATCATCGCTACCTGGTCCATGAGCTCATCCAGCTGGCAAATGTTGCTCTTCTCACTGCAGCAGCTACTGTCGTATCCAGAAAAAAACCCATTACGTACAGGGATGTAGGCTACATGCATCTATTTAGTGGCCGTGTGTATCTTACTGTCGTATCAAAAAAAAAATTAAGTAAGGTGATGTAGGGTACATGCATCTATTTAGTGGCTGCATGTATCTTACTGTCCATGTCATGTATTTCAGAAGCACCCTGGAGTACGATAACTGCTTCAGAATTACTCCAGGAATAACATAATTTTTTACTGTTGGAATTAAATGGCATACAAAGGAAGGATATTGCCTACCATTAGACTTTGCTGCGGTTGTAGTTTTCTTCAGTGAAGCCTTCGCCGCTTTTACCTGTCCAAGTAAACAACATACACTCCCTTACACGAACGCAAAAGATATAATACCACCAACCTGCTAATTAGCCACTCACACAAACAAGAGCCGCAGAGCGTCTGGGCTCATCTGAGGTCTGTTGCTACGATTATAAACGTAAAATTTCAGTCGTGCGTAGTACCACATTTGTTAGGCGCAGATATGCAGACACGCAGTTGCGTACACATCATGGTTAGGACACGCCCACTATCGCAGATGGAGGGTAGGGGGAGGGTGGGGGGAGAGGGTGGGGGAAGGAGTGGGAGGAGGGGGTGGGGGAGGGGGAAGGGGGAGGGTGGGGGGAGGGGATTCTACTAGCAAAAGCAGTTCAGTCCTTTGTTGACAGTGAACAAATCCATGTTTAACCCTCCTCTTGAGGGTCAAAAGGTTATCCGACACTTACTCTTCGCATGTCAGCAGAAGGGACATTTCATGGTCCTTTCAATAAAGCCATAAAAATGCTAGGTCACCGCTGAAACAAAAAAGTTTTTCAATCGCTCCGTCAGACCATGTCCTCAGAAAATGTCTAAAATCTGCCCTGTGCCCACTGACCTTTGACCTGTGACCTCCAATTTCGGCACAGTGATGGCTTTTCCTACCATGATGCTATACACCGACTATCACGAGCCTAGGTCGAGCCGTTTAGATTTGTGCCGCAATTCTGCATTTCCTCCCTATACCTTAAGTTAAGGAGTGAATGTTCCCCCTTCTTTTACACCTCTTGACCTTTGACCTTTGACCCCCAGCTTCGACATCCCAACTCGTTTTGACGATCCCCCCCGATGTGCCGAATATCGTGACCGTACGTCGAGCGGTTAAGATTTGTGCCCAACTGTTGACGCCCGGACGGACGGACGGACGGACGGACGGACGGACGCACGGACGATCATGCGATTCTACAAGCTGCATCTGACTATGTCAGATGAGCTAAAAACACTTGCAAATGATGGCAATTTCGGAAATACGTGCTATAAAGTTACCACAGACGTTGCACGATTAGACATGATTACATTATACATTTAGCTGGACACTAGCATTTACTACTGGTAATTGTTAGTAAGACAATAACGTGCATGCGTGCGTGCGTACGTGGGTGTATGTGTTGTGTGCAGATTATTTGCGTGTGCCTATATGTGTGCAGATTATTTGCGCGTGCCTATACGTGTGCTTGTGCGTGTATGTGTGCATGTGGCTGTGCGTGTGCATGTGGCGGTGCATGTGCATGTCTGTGCGTGTGTGCGTGCGTGTAGGTTCATACCAGGCCGAGACAGGGGGCAATCAGCTGTCTGTCTGTGTCTGACCACGCATCATCACTGAACTCATCCAGTACGTCTCCCAGACCCGACCAGCGTGACTCTGTGTCAGTGCGCAATGCCTGCCCCAGTCAGGCACCGATAGCAGCCCATCGACGGAAGGATTGCGGCCATGATTTTTTCAAAATCCAGTGACACAAGTCAGATAATAGAAAAAAAAAAACAGAACACGTTACCATGAACATATGTACAATCGATGCAAGCAGCCACATAATGTCTGCCATTAAGCTCTCATTTGGCCAAAAATATTTTTTCTGCCATGCTTTTATCATTCACAGTACATTAATATCATGGACATTATAGCCGAGAGCGATTGCCACTAAAGCACAGTAGCTAAAATTATGGCCGTGCCAAATTGCGATTGGTGTACGTCTCGAGAAATAACATAGGGTATAAATTATGTTCACAAAACTACGGTACTGCAATAACACATGCATGGCATACAATACGTGACAGACTAACTGACAACACAATTGTCAACAATATATAGCTGCATGTACACTGATGTATAAATATATCATGAAAGCTGTAGTGAGTGGCTACTCATGAGAACAATTTTTGCAAGGTGTCATTTGAAAATAATTATACCGTAGAGAAACTCCACATCAAAAATCAGAGGGAATTCTTAGTGGGAAGCTTCATGAATATGTGGGAATTATTTTCGTTATGCTTATGTTCCTTGAAACGTTTGCATCTGTAAACAAAACTCTTGAATGTAAATGATTGTTTTAACAAATATACACAGCATATACCTCTTCTATTTCATCAAGTGCATCCTTCACAAGTGCACATGCACTGTTTAGCTCGGAAATAGCAGCTGCACCACTATCTAAAAGAAAAATTTAAGATTTCAGTTGTTTCAAATTTGCATTATCTAAGAAAAATATCTATGCAGGCACAAATCTATATTGCACAGTGCAGTACATTACATGCGAGTACATTGCAACTATTCATTGCTATCTAAAATAAAAATGAGCTAACATTCAGTCGTTTTAACCATGTATTCTTAATAAAAATATCTATGCAGACACAAATGCACGTGAGTATGTTGCAACTGTTCCTGAGTTCCTAGCTGGTCAATTCCTACCTCTTGGTAGTTCCTGTATTGCATCGCAACTCTCCCACACACTACCTGTAGACTGTAGCTGTTTCTGAGGTCTGAAATAGGATAGTTCACATTCAATAACTACCAGGGTGCATCCCGTGAAGTCAGCCAGCACAGACGTCCATTAGTGACAAACTGTCGCTTTCAGCTAACTAAATATGACTGCTGGTATAATCATGGCACGTTCGCTGTTATGCTGTAGAAACCACAGAGGGTGTTATAAATCCATTCCCGAATTAGAAGGTACATAAAAAGCTAGAGTTTACGCAGAACTCTAAAGTCACTCTAATTTCTAAACAGTAGTCACATCAGCTAGCACAGACGTTGATTAGTGACAAACTGTAAACATTCAGCTAACTAAATATGACTGCTGGGTCTAGTCATGGCTAGAAAGATCAGTCTACCCCTGAGGTCCATTTAGTCGCAGATCGTTCGCTAGTTGTTGTAGACTCGTAACTATGGTAATGATACCCTGTCTCAGCATCTTCTGGAGATGAAGCCCTAATTAGAACAATACAAGTGCAATACACTAATAAATGATTCATTGCATATAATTCTCTAACAAACTATATAGTACATAACTTACAACAAAACAGAAAATACAGTAAATCACATTCACCATTTCTCCTATCACTCATCACCATCACTCATATTATTCTCTAAACAAACTATATGGTACATAATTCACAACAAAACAGGAAATGAAGTAAAACGCACTCACGCAAACAGAGTGCCAAATGAAATGTTCTAAATTTTACTACATCAGTTTAACCCAGCTTATTATAATTAACTGTGTTTGTTGCTGTTTAGTGGTAATATTTCATATGAAAGATATGCTATACGCACACACACACACGCGCGCGCGCGCACGCACACGAGCGCACACACACACACACAACACGCACAGTCAAACACCCATGCACACATGTACACACAAATGCATGAACACACGCACACATGCAGTCACGCACACACGCATATACACAGACACAAATATAGGTTTGATCATAGTAGTACACTTACCTTGAGTGTCAGGTAATCCATAAAAGAGAGAAACCGTCATGAGTGTACACTGCTCTAGAACATTTACTAGTTTTTGGGATTCCTGAAAAGATAAATAAATTGGGTACAACTAATTATGAATGAATATAAATAAACAACGTTGACTGTTTCCTTGTCATTGTGAACCATAAACCATGTGCAATGCATTAGAATTGTATAATTTAAATACTCAAAATTACAGTACAGTCCGACCTCCTTTATCCGGCCACGTCGGGACCGGCACCCATCCGGATATGGGATTTGGCCGGATATGAGAGTTATGCTCAAACACAGCATTTCTATGCAGTTCAGTAGGGTTTATGCATGTGATAATGCATTTACTCGTTGAGCATGATTATTTGTAACAAACTGTCGTGTTTCATGGTTTATATGAAATGGAAATAAAATGAAATAAAACAGAAATTTTACCGGAGGCATAGCGGACACGAGCAGACAACACACACACACACACGCGCGCGCGCGCACACACGCAAACGTACGGTTGGTACATCGCGCAAGTTTTTAGCAAGCTTTGAGCGATATTTTTAAGTGGAAATAAATGAAAAACAGAGAACATACACTGTGAGATCGCGGCCGGTGAATAGAGATTTCCGGATAACGGATGGCCGGATAAAGGAGGTCGGACTGTACCATGTATATATAAAGTAGGATCAAGATACAAAATATTTAGCATGTATCAAATAATATTAAAAAGAATCATTTGGAAATAATTAACTCAATATATTTTTCAAAATTATTTTACAGACCCGCGTCATGCAGACAGATTTCATACTATCAAGTATTACACAAGGAATAATGCATCAACTTCCAGATAGTTTATTGTAATTTTCCAAGATTACGCTTAGAGAAAAATGATTCCTACATCTTATTTCTGTTAAGAGATTAGTAGCAACATATCGTAGGGGGCAATATTTACACAATAAACACCAGAAAAGTGGATAAGATAGTAAATAAACAATTAGAGTACCTCAGGCGCAGGTACTGGTGGCTTCGAGAATGCCACACACAGCTTAACTGCCTCATGTGAAAGTCGCTTCACAATAACTTCTGAAATAATGATTTTGGTTACAAATAAATATTAAAGAATTTATATTGTTGTGGTAATATAATCATAACTATAATTAACAATTACACAGCAATATAAAGCAATAAGAGAGAACTATGATGTATCTTTTTATGAAGCATGCACTGTGATCATTATTTATACTGATACCACCTTACCACACCTTACCTATAATCCATATATATATATACATATACTGTCCAATTTTTCATATATTTACGCTAGAGTATGCACTACATTTATGGTACATATTAATAAGGATAGATAGCTAATCCTCATTTAAATTTACCCAAGTTAAGTTTAATAATGTGCCGGGTCTAGATAATACATTCATGATCAATTAGGGAACATCATAAAATCAATAGCATGCACCTCTTTTGCAATTGGACTCATGATTACACCATTCACAATCATGTTTCAGAATGCAGCACAATTTGTCCCACAGGATTAAATCTATAACTGATACCAACCTCATTTCATACCCATTCATCATATGATATTGCTTCACAATGCAGCGAAATTTCAGCAACATGGTTAAATCTGTAATCTTTACCGACTTCATTTCACACTATAATGCATCATATGATATTCCTTCATAATGCAGTGAAATTTGTGCAGATGGGTGGAAATTGTGGCTGTTTACAAATTTTAGCACCAATTTCAGTTTACTATACTAACCTAGCCGTTGCCAAAATGCCTCCGATGTGAATCCGGCAAAGTCTCGATCTTTGGGATCATCCCCTACAAACATTAATTTACAATTAAAATAATGCTAATAAAAAAACTCACGTTGACAATGTATTTTACACACATCTAGTCGAGGGAATTTGTTGATTCCATCCGTGTTGGAAACAGACGCCCAACCTCTTGACCGGGTCTGGAGAAGGACTGGCTCATTTTTTATGGATTTTGTGATAGGTTATATATAGTAGAAATAAGAATTTTCGAAATCAGGACAGGCTGGGTTTCCAGACTTATTTCCCAGACGAACTGCATGGATTTTATGATACAGGGTCCGGGATGACGTGTTGTGTTGAAGTGGTGTACGTGTTCCACACTGTACTACTGCACCTACTTTAAAGGTATCCTTTACTCTATGTTCTAGGGTTATTTTCAGTTAATTTAGGTTAAAATTATGCTACATAAAGAGTTTCATGGTTCAATCACCATTAGAATTTTTTTTTAAATGTTTTAAAACTAACGACTACAGTTTGATTACAACGACGGTGGCGCCACTCAAAGCGCACGATCTGAAAAGTTGCGCAAAACGACTTTTCAGCCAAGGGCTACAGACCGTGGGTGTTTCTTATTTATTAATTTAAAAGAAAAAGGATTATAATATCTTATAAACGACATATAGTTTCAGTTATATTATGGATAAATTTGTCCTAAAATAAACATCGTTCGGTTAAATAGCATTTAGGTATAAATATAATTGCACCTTTGTGATTAGCCCTCGGTCTGTAACGTACAAAATATATTGGGAAATGTACAACTTTTTCAGGGTGGCAGCACGGTCGCGGGTATCAATGGCGCCATTCAAATTTCGTAGCGTTGATGTATAATTAATTATAACAATTAAATTAGGTATCTGGTAACAAGTATGTGTGGGTATAGATGATTTGTTATACAGTAAGTACAGTTGTATGCAGTAAAATCCTAGAGCCTAGTATGCCTTTAAATGTAAACTATGGCACAAACATGCAGCTATAGCGGAGAGTAGTACGTAGCACCATCACTAGCATCAGCATCAGCATGACTTATGAGTAGGAACAGTAGTAGCAGAGTTGCAATTGGTAGTGCCCCCCCCCCCTGAGGCACACTCCCTACAAAATAGGGTAGGTATATGTGCCACTTGAGAGATGGAATTGGAGGGCTCCGGTACTAACTCAGCACATAAAAATGGGGGTCTTCAGAACTAGGGTTTGCAGGAAAGCATGATGTTTGAAACTGGATATGTTTGCGAGAGGGGGTCTCCGGGACAGGCAGAAAAAAGTAGGACCTATGCTCTGGGACGGGAAATATTTAAAAAGGGGGTCGCCGGTGAGGAAAAAAGTACGACCCATGCTCTGAGACGGGATATATGTGAAAAAGGGGGGTCTCCGGTGCGGAAATTTCGAGGTGAAAAGGAGGGTCATAACTGCGGCACCTACCTACCACACAATATATAGGGAGTGCCCCCCCCCCCGGGTAGTGGCGGTAACAGCAACTGTAGACCGGCAATATAATCAAGTGAGCTCAGTTCCCATATGATATCATTAAGTTAAGTGGCACTAGACGTGATGCGGCCATGATGCCGAGGCGAATTGACACTTTGTGTCTTCCAATCACAGCCTACGCCGCACCAGACTTTGATATTTTTAAATATGGGGACCCATTGAACCGCAAAATCACTAATCTCAGGAACTAGGGCATTCTGCTATATTAGAACGGTTTCCTACAATAGAGTTTGCCACAAATACGAAAATAACACGCTGTTTAGCGCACTGCGCTACGTCCTTCTGTTGCATTTTCGCATCTCCGTAATCAGAATAAGCCCCGCCTTCTTCGTTGATGGACATGAATGGGGTGTCACCGACGTGACCAGTTCCTGTACCTACTGTCTATTTCGCCAGCCTGTTTACTTTTCGTAAATAATGAAATGCCCGGCCGATGCATTTCGCATTGAAGTGGAATTTTTTTTCGCATTTTCACTCGCTATCGGAACTGAACGAGTGCGTCATTTATTGAACATTGAATTTTTTCTTCAAATTCAATAATTCCGAAAATCCCTAACCGCGCTACTCGATTGTTTTAGCCAATGAACGTAGCTGTGTGTGTGACGTCTTGCCCGCACGCTTTATGCTTGGCTTAGCGGGCCTCGAAATGGATATCGGAAGCAAGCACCTCGCAACACGCGTGTTTGTTTACATATAGCTTTGTGACATGAGGATGGGCGTTGTTGGGGAGTTCTGCGATGATAACCTCAGAATTTCTTAAGGTGCATGGAACATTTTACCAATTTAGTGGTGTCAGTTAGTCACCGATATGTCACAGTAACTAAGTAGTAAGTACTAACCGTATATGTTTCACATACGTTCACCTATTTTGCACACAGGCGGTCGAACATTGTAAAAAATTGTGTGAATATTTATTTTTATTGAGACGTTCCAAGTGCCTGTGCTTTCAACGGTCTTGTACGTCAATGCACGTGCGTCAAGAGCCACAAACTCAACACAATTTCATCTCTGTTATTGTTTACGCCTGAATGCGTGATTGATCAGGGAGGCGGTGCATGTAAGAGGGAGACATTTTCTTTTGGGTTCCGAAAAACACAATTCCACTTGACAATTTCATGGGCCATTTCAATTGGAAGCTCGTAAATAGAAGATCTGCATAATGGACCCCCAACAAGCCCTTTGACTGACTAGTCAAGAAATTCAAGGGTGTATATTATATTGCTCTTATTTAGCAGCCAATAGTTCTTATTTAGAACAAAGTCTTCATTGTTATCTTCTAAAACCACAGACCATCCACTGACCACTGTGGAGACGTGCGCCGGGGCTCGAATTTGGTGCACGTCTCCACTGCTGACAGCGCTTCATACTTGAACATCCCCGCGGTCGCGTGCGCATAGATACAATAATGTAACCCAAACCCAGGATAGGTTGGGTTTGGGTTACATTATTGTATCTAGCGTGCGCATATCCCGCGGAACTGCACGTCTCATCCGCGCGCAGCGCTCAGGATCAACAGCAAAGCTGTGCCACGCAATCTTGTATCATGTCTCTCTGGTTATGCTATATAATATAGTAACACTGCGAGTGTGAGCATGATGATGATGTGGAGGGTGAGCATGGATGGCCGTGCCACCATCATCCATGTGCCATGTGCCGATGTGGTAAACAACATCAAAATGCACTGCACTGTTACTGTAGATCGAGCATGTTACTAACAGAAGCATATATGTTCATAACCTAGTATTCTTACTAATAGAAGTATAGTACTTCTAGTATTATTTAGTATATGAATGACAGTGGCAGTGTCAGTGACAGTGCGACCTAGGACTCGAGTAGCATCATAATCATAATGAATCATTGAGTGATCATTAAAAATCATTGATCCACTATCGTAATTGGTATACACACAGCTTTTCGTTGTTGTTTCGAGTAAAGTTAAACATCATCGTAAGCTAGTCATGCACACCTTTCAATTGATCAATAGCTAACTGAAGATTAGCATGTAATAAATTAAACACTTCGTCGTTTGATTTTGCTACTGCTTCCATGGGCGCGGCCATTTTTGGTAAAACCTACGAGTTGTGACTCACTACACCACAGACTAACTTTTTCAAGTGCCTAGTAGTCATATCCTAAGTGCCTAGTAGTCATATCCTAAGTGCCTAGTAGTCATATCATATCGCATCTAACTGCCGGGTGCTATTATCCTGAGTGTGGGAAGGGGCACTGCATGCAGTTTGCCATCGTTCATTGGACACTGGCGGTGCCTAGTGAGCGAGTAGATCCCGCAGCAGCGTTCCAAAACACAATCGTGAACGTGAACGTATCGTGACGTGTAGAAGTGAACCAAAGATCGTAGAGTGAACCTACGGCACTCTAGAATCTTTGAAGTGAACGTCCGATAGCAAGGAAAACAAACCGGATTCTAGCGCGGCGCTTACTGAAACGTCTGATTTCATTGTTGGGAGTCGGGAAATTCACCTAATTAGTATAGTTGACGTCGATCTTCTTCTAAAGTTATCACCCAACGGTCTGAATAATCCGCAATGGAGAAGGCTATACACACTTCAAGGTAATGTATGTATTTAGATCATGATATTTTTGGCGGCTTTCCCGGCGATTTGGCAGCGAGCCGAGTTGTACCGCGTTCGTGAATGAAACCTGTCGGTGCCATTGGTGTATGATGGGACACATTGCACGCGTAATACGTTTTACTATTATATTAGTGTTAGGGTTGTGGTCTGTGATGCTGACGATAATGGTGATGCATCATACATGATAAAAGGGGCAGACTGTGATAAGTAAGTGGCTACGGGGTATTGTCTTGCACCGTCACCACATTATCATTGATTGATTAATTGGTGAATAAGGTGTTACTATTACTAATAATGATTATACATATTTAAAAGTTGGTCATTGTGATTGTTAGCAGGCTATTAACTTCGTTGTAGAAATGTGATAGACCCCCTCAGTTATCTTGTTGTTTAACTCGTAGCAAATTTTTCCTGCGATTTCATCATCCTATTGATTTTTGTATCTTTTCACTAGAAGTAGAACTTCTCTCTACGGGTTGTTACCATGTTTGACATTGTTACTATGTATTAATATTATTCTTCAGTTACTGTGTCTTAAATCGGTACTATGTATAATCTTTATTGTTACTTGCTTTTTGTTATTTAGTTGTTGTCACTGAATGGCTGCTTCATGCACTTGTTTTCTTGACCCAGGCTCTCTCTCTCTCGCTCTCTCTCATTGACTCTATGACAGTTGTCTCTCACACACTTTTCCCTTTCTCTTCCTGTTCTTGCATGCATGCACGCACACATGCACATACTTTCTCTCACCCTCTCTCTCTCTCTCTCTTTTCCTCTCAGTCACTCAATCTTGTCTTTTTCTCTCTCGCTCTCCCTGTTATCTCTTTATCTCTCCATGATATCTCGCCCCCTTCTCTCTCTCTCTCTCTCTCTCTCTCTCTCTCTCTCTCTCTCTCGCTCTCTCTTTCTTTCTCTTTCTCTTTCTCTTTCTCTTT